AGCGTATTCCTTTGTGCAAATTTTAAAGAGAAACAATCACCTCTAAGTATGATGTTAAATTGGAAGATACTCTATTTTTACATCAAGTTCTAGCTCAGGAGTTCTAAGGCAGAAACTTAAGAGAAGATCTGGATCACCTTGATCTTGAGTCACAGAAAAATCTCACTGGCATTGGGATGTGATGAACAGCCTAGTGAAGGCAGCCAATAATACTGTAACAACTTCTGTACCGTGACAGAAGGCAAGCAGACTTAACATGATCACTTCATAATGTATTTAATACTGAATCACTAGGTTGTACACCTGAAACTAATACACTGAAAAAAAAAACCCCAACAAACCCCTGACGTATACTTGACCTTTAGAGGGTGAGGGATAAAGAAAGAACTATAGATGTGGGAGAGAAACACTGATTGGTTTCCTCAACTACTCTCATGGACTGGGGACCAAACCCAGAACCCAGGCATCTGCCCTGACTGGGAATTGAACCGGTAACCTTTTGCCTTGTGGGGTGACACCCAACCGAGCTACACCAATCAGGCCCAACTGTATTTCAATTTAAAAAGGAAAGAAAATCTGTGTTAGATGAGAGAAAACTTCCAGTTCAATCACCTCTAATTACAGAGGAAACAGCTCTGGGGAGGGAGTTCGTGGCCTCCCTATTCTGGCCCAATTCCCCGAAGTGTGAAACACAGGCCTACAATGGCATTAAATAGACACTTTATATATAGATAGTTATGGAGCTTAATGTGTATTTTAAAGACATATAATTTGGAGATTTCACAAATACTAAGGGTCCAAATGAGCTGAAACTGGAAAAAAGAGTGTTTCAAGTTGCTTTAAAGGGGTGACCGACCTTTTGGCATCTCTTGGCCACACTGGATAAAGTTTTCTTGGGCCACACATTAAACACATTGCAACACATAATCACCAAAAAAACTCACGTTTTAAGTAAATTTATGATTTTGTGTTGGCCCGCATGCGGTCCGCATGGGCCGTGGGTTGGGCACCCCTTCCAGGTGGTGGGAACGCGGAGTAGTGCAGCCACTGTGGAAAGCAGCACGGAGATACCTCCAAAAATTAAAACTGGACCTGCCTTTTGACCCAGCGATCCCACTTCTGGGACGTCATCAGAGGGAACCCAAAATGCTAATTTGAAAGATTAAGCACCCTTATGTTCACTGCATTATTACAATCACGAAGATACGGAGGCAGCCCAAGTGTCTATTAGAAGATGGGTGGATAAAACTCCTATGGGACATTTACACAAAAGGATACTACTCAGCCATAAAAGAGAAAATTTTACCCTTTGTGACAGCATGGATGGACCTGAAGAACATTATGCTAAGTGAAATAAGCCGCTCAGAGAAAGACACAATACCGTATGATTTCACTTTTATGTGGAATCTAATGAACAAACTGAACAAAGCAAAATAGACACGGACTCATGGATGGAGAACAGGTGACAGCTAGTGGCAGGGGGAGGTCAGGGGGTGGAGGGATTGAGCAAAAAAGAATGAGGACTCATGGACATGGGCAAGTGTGGCAACTGCAAGGGAGGCTGTGAGGGAGCTAAATGATAATAATACAAAAAAATTATTAAATAAAAAAATTATCTGTGCTACTATTCATTTTCAACAACTTACAGAGTTGTAAAGTAGCTTCCCAAGGAAAATGCATAATTTCCCAGTGAAACAATTTTTCCCTGTAACGCTTACATTAACAAAGTGGTATCTACATTTCCCCCCTTTGTTTCTTTGCTTTCTTTCTGGGGGTATTTGGAAGTAACACTAATTTAATCAGATGTTTTGAATGACACCGCTACCTGTGGAAATACATTTCAAATAAAAAAAAAATTAGGTGGTGACGATAGTACACACTGTACACATACTGAATGCCACTGAACTCTCCACTTAAAATGGTTAAAGTAAAAAGTTTTATACACCTATTTTACAATAGAAAACACAAGCATAAACATTAGGCAAATAGTTTAGGTGGCACCAAGTCTAGGAAAGAATCGTGTGGCCGGAGTAACACCCCAGCCCCCTCGGGAGGCGGCACCCCAGGGGCACGCTGACCAACTCTCCGGGAGCGCTGAGTCACCAGTGCACCGCCTGAGCGCCAAGACGGCCGCCCTGAGGGGGGCAGAGCTGCGATGACTCACCCCCCAAAGGAGCCCCAAGACTTGCAGGGTCCCCCAAGTTCCTTACACCAGAGCCTAGGCGACAGGGTGCAAAATCACGTGCGGTGAGGCCGCACAGATTAACTAGAGCACATTTCTTTGCTTTTATTGAGTTATTTCTCAGCAGTGGTTACAAGAATGGGCTTGGGAGTCGGGCAGATCTGGTTTGCTTCTCGGCGCATGCCGCGTACCAGCAAGCAGCCCGATGTCCTTGAATCGCAGTTTGCTCATCTGCAAACCGGGGATGCGAACAGCAGCTCCTTTCTGGGGACGTTATAAAGACTGGACACAGTGGGGAGTGTGCCACTGTGAAGCCTTTACGCAGCTCGGCCATCAGATAGTCAACTGAGTTGAAGGTCATTTGTATCAAGGACTGAAATGTTTTAAATAGGTCTCAGGAAAGGATCTTCTTTGCGGCAGGGGGGCAGGGGGGACGACACAAACATAAAATGTGTATTGAGTGTTTCCCACAGAACTTGGATTGTGGTCAATGAATGTAAAGCAGGATAATCACTGCCTATTAACGTGAAGTTTTGATTTTCAGTTAAGTATATATATTTACAATCCTCCACTCAAAGATGCTTACTGATTTTACAAAGAGGAAGGGGAGGAGAGAGAAATCTCGATGTGGGAGAGAATACCTACCGGATGTCTCCCGTATGCGCCCTGACCGGGGATCAAACCTGCAACCTGGGTATGTGTCCTGACTGGGAATCAAACCTGCAACCTTTCTGGTGCACAGATGATGCTCCAATAAACTGAGCCTCCTGGCCAGAGCTGGTGACACGTGTTTTTAATGGTTACAAGTGACAAAGCAATATCCCCAAGTTTATTTGTATTCAGAACCACGACGTCCAGCGAACGCTGCCCAGGTGAGTCCTCAGTGCGACGCCTGCTGGAAGCGCTACCCCAGACGCTGCCCTCTGACAGGGGGCCTGGGTGAGAAGGCTGGGCCTCGCGCTGGTGGCGTTTCCCTAGACAGGCACCAGCTGCACAAGGATTGGCCTCCCAGAGGAAGGCCCCCAACTCCCTGCCCAGAGAATGGCTGAACCTGTCACAGAGGATGGAGGCGGCCCTGGTATAGGACCTCACTCAGAGAGGGATCTAGAACTAACGAATAGTAAAGCCAAGGAGCCTTAGAAACGCCCTCCCATGACTCCATTCTGAGGTCAGAACGAAGGGGAAGGAAGCCAACGCACTTGGGCTGCGGTGGTGAAGGCCGAAGAGGAAGAGCTGCAGCTTCCCCTGAGCACAGGGCCCCCACAGCCTGGGGAAGTGGCCTGCTCTCACAGGTCCGGGCCGATTCTGCAGTGCGGCAGCCACTGCTGGGGATAAAGGCAGCGTACAAATTAAGAATGCCAAAAAAGTTTTAGGGTGCTTCCGTATTAGTAGGGATATTGCAAAAGAACAGATGATGGAGAAGGCAGTGTTCTGGGAGAGATTATCTTCTTTCAGGAGCGTCTGGTGGGTTCAGTTGCAAAACAACAGGTCCATCAATATGAAACCAGGGGACCCCACCCTTCTCCAGGAATGCCACCAACGCTACCGGCCCCCACACCCACTACCCACCCCAACGTCCAATAACTCTGAAGGCAACGCCAGTTCTTCTCAAACAGTTTAATAGCAAATAAACAAAGGAAGGTACCACACTTGGCAGATACAAAATGACTTTTTGTCCGTGTGTCTGTGCAATTAAAACAGATTTAGGTTCCCCATTGGGACAAAAGGAAAAACACACAAAAAAAGGAAGGCGATTCTTTTTAAACACATACTCCCTTGCTCCAAACTTGTAACATTTTTTTTCTTTTTTAATCCACTACACAAACTCTGTGATCAGGTCAGAAAAGCGACAAGGGCTCTTCTTGCTTTTTTTTAAACCATTAAAGTAAAATCCATAATTTTCTACATAGTACAACACAAGTTCACACAAAAAAGACATTTTCTTTTGCAAATCAAAACAAGAAAGAAAGGAAAAGCTCAAACAAGGTAAAGGAAAAGCATTTCTACGGCTGAATCACGACTTTGAGTTGATTGAATCCCGTTGTTGCTGCAGAACAGACTGTGCGTTTGGTCATAGTGGCAATTTTTTCTCTTCACATTGTGAAATCACTTTACATTGTTTTCTAGTAGAAAAGGCAAAAAACTGTACAAAACCCCTAGTGTTAAATACAACGTTTGTACCAATAAAAAACTCACACAGGTTTGTCTCCAAAATGTAAAGTTTCTTTTTTTTTTCTTTTTAAATTATTCACAAAAAGCAGCTGGAAATCAGAAAGGCAGCTGCCGCTCCAGGGTCTCAAATCCATTAAAACCACCACAGAACAATTAAAACAATCAGAGAGAGAAAAGGAAAAGGAAACAACGTCCAACGTTTGGCATTTGGTTTTATCCACAGGTTTTCCCAGAGCTCCTCTTGGAATTGAAAGCAAAATATATTGGCAAACACGGATTCTGAACACACAGGAAGGGGAGCCTCAGCGCCTTCTGCCAACAGAGGCGGCTCTGTGCAGTCAGACTGTGGGGTGCACGGCAGTCTTGCTCAGGCTGGGGTTCCTGGCCTCTTTCCATCCAACTGCCCCTTCCAGGAAATTAAGCAGTCTACCATACTCTGGGCCTTCATTTGGCCGCCCTTTCTTTCCAGTAAGAGTGGCCCCAAGCATAACACTAGGCAACCTGCTGGGTCCCAGACCAGAAATTCTGCTGGGATCCCCTCCTTCATCAACCCCAGCGTGGATGATGCTAACAGTGCTTCTACCTTCCCCACCCCGCCCCGGCCCCTCGGCTACCCCCCCTCCACCCTTCCCGGGACAATCCTGCTTCCCAGCTCGTCCGCCCCACCAGCAGCCTAGCTCTCTGGCTGGGGTCGCTCGGACTCCTCCCTCGGCAGCCTCACACCTCCACAGACCCACCCGTGACCTCTCACCTCCTCTAGGCTCTCCCTCGCCATTCACATTCTCACTCAGGCCCCTAGACCCTGGGGGCGGATGGTGCCAGAGAGGAGGGCAAGTTCCTTTCAGGGAGCCAAGGAACTGGCGTGCCTGGCACCCAGGGACAGTAGCTATTTGGCTCTTCACCCAGTTTTACAAAACAAATCCCCGCCCTTACCCCATCCCACTAGCTAAGAGCAGAGTTGTGGGGGAGAGCCAGTGTGGGGTAGCTGGTGGCCAGGGCTGTAAACAGTGTGAAGACTGTAGTATTGTGCTTGTCACCTAGGAAAAACGCTGGCAGGTATGTCGCCACTTAGTGCACAGATGGCCTCCCCCGACTGGTGGAGAGCACCCTCCTCCCTCCGGGCCGAGGGGCGCTCACTGCCCTTGATGCGCTAAGCCTCCTGCCCACCCGCAGCCGCCTTCTGGATTCTACCTCTGTTCCTCGTGCCTCTCCTGGCGCCCTCCCAACCCATCTCTGAGCAGGGCAGCCAGCCCCCCGGAGGCCCTGCCGAGGCCGGGAGGCCACATGAGGTGACAGTCTAAGTGCACAGGCAAACGCTCTAAGGGCAACAGAGGAGAAAGTTGCCACTTCAAAATAAAACAATACAATCTTGAAAAAATAACCCCACAACAATTTAAAACAGCTTCTTTGAAACCCTTTTAAATCGGTCAGTTTTTGCACAAACTATAGAAAACAGAGAGGTGAAGGTGATATATAAGAAGGTGTGAAGAAACAGCAGGAAACATGCAAAACTTGTTTTTTTCTGGGTATCATCTTAGTAGGAAAGGAAAAAATTCCAAACAAAAGCACAAAAACAGTACAAAAACAAAACAAAACAAAACAAAACAAAAAAACCCCCAAAGCATCACATTTTGCTGTGGAGACTGTAGGAACAAGCCTGGAGGGAGGGGGCGAGGGGCCCAAAGGCGCCTGCAGGGGAGACCCTCCCAAGGAAAAGGGCTGGCGGCCCGAACTGCAGCTTGCTGTCAAAAAGGAAAGGGGTTCGGGTGTTTTCTGCAGTTGAGAACTCAGAAAAACAAAAATAAGAACACATGCGGTCTCCTCAAGCCCCACAAACTATATCAGCAAAATGTGCTCAGGAGCCTCAAAGGTTTCAGTGACATCTTTTATTTCATTGTTTACTTCAAAGTTGTCTTTAAAACTAAGCACACAGAAACAAAGCCTAGAAACGGACTGGCTGTGTGTTCACAGAAATACAAACACCACGCGGTATGTGCTAGTAGGGCTGCTCTGAAGACAATTACAAAGAATTGGAATCACAAAATCAAGTGGTTATCTTATGAAGTTCTAGAAAAATAGATTTTTTTATATTCAAATGCAAGTTTAAATATTTCCCCTTCAGCAGTCGTTCTAGCAAAACCAATTTGGCAGCACAAAAGAAAAAAAAAAGGAAAGAAAAAAGAAAAAACAAAGAAAGAAACAAACATAATAAAAATACACATCAGCATCAAAGATCAACACAAGGTCAAAGGTGAGAGTTCAAGCATCAGAGAAGCTGAAGAGACAGGGATTTGGACGATGTACTTGACGCCACATCGACATGCTTTAGGCACAACGATGAACAAACGGCAGGAATCTAGAAAAAAAAACAAACCAGAAAGAGGGAGACCCACTGAGTTACACAGAGCAATACATCCAAACAAAGAGAGAGAGAACAGGAACACTCACTGTGTACAGCCCTGAAATGAGGAGGCGGGCGGGGCGGGGGCTGGGTAATGACAGGGAACTTTTGCACATGCTAACAATGGACACAGGGAAAAGTCAAAAAGGACATGGAGGACACCAAGAAAACATCCAACTGCTGGAGACAGAAGGGAAACTAAGGCTTGGATTTCCCCTGACGCATCCAAACACATTTAGAAGACCTCTGGTGAAGCAGAGCCTCAGCCTCTCCAGCTCCCTGTTTTAGACCAAGAGAAAGGAGAAGCCTGGCGGGGAGAACTCTTTAGGGGAGAGGGCCAGGATTTCTCTGCAATCCTGGGGGGGAGGGCCCTTTGTTCCCAGAAATCCAAGCTCTTAGCTTCCACACAGGCCCTGGCCACTCATGTGGGACCCAGGAGACAGTGTCTGGCTGCATTCAAGGCAAGTCAATTTCATGATGAAACCCAAGTAAGAAACAAAACTACAGGAGAAAACACGTTTGTGTAAGTGAAACCCCCACACAACAGTGAAAGATTGCTTAAGACTTGACTGTGAGTCTCCACTCTCTGAAATGAACCCTTTCACACCGTGAGACTTGTAGGGGAGCAGCTTCTTCACAAAACCTTCTTTGGCCTGGGGAGAAAACTGTGCTCAAGGGCAGTGCTGCCGTGCTAACTCACTGGGCAGGGATGAGAGAACAGACAGAAGTGCCCAGTCTTACCAGCTGGCCACTGTGGCAAGCCCAGGGCCCTGCTGGGGCAAATGCTCCTTTTAGGAAAGAGAACCCACAAGCAGGTATGAAACCTCAGGGCCTGGCATCAAAGGCAGGCTGATCACACCTTTGCCTTTCAAGTCATTTGGAAAGGGGTTTCTGAAGGTCCCAGAGCCCAGGACCAATCTGTGGACCATAATGGTGAATGGGGGAGGGGGAAGAGAAAGGGGGCAAGTGGGAACGGAGTGGAGTTCTGGGATTTGAAAAACCCCACGACGGCCAAGGAGGAAGACATAACAGAAGGTTAGCGATCGCAGCACCACAGCGCCCTGGAGAGCACAGCTCTCTCCTCCGCCAATTCACAGCATTAATTCCTCCCCCTCTGGCAGATTAGCTGGGCTGCAAACAGGCCACAGAAAGTCAGTAGTTTCAATCATACACAGCACCCTGTGTGTATAACAATCACATTCTGGATTCTACAAAATCCTGGCCTTTTCCAGAGATATAATTTAGGTAATAAATATTCTCCACCCCGGAGCTGTATAAAACTTCTATAAAAATAGAAACGACATTCTTGATTCCAGCCGGTTGGGATTCAGAACAGCGCCTCCCCAACCTAGCATTTTTTTCTTTTTTTGTTTTCTTTTTTCTTTTTTATTTTTATTTTTTGCATTTATTTAAAAAATCCCATCATGACCCTGGAAGCCTTTGGAACAGTTTTATCCTTGAAACACAGGACACATTTCACCCAGTGTGCAGAATTCAAGTTTACGTGGTTCAGCTTAAGTATGTTTCATGTTCCTTAGAGGACAACAGACCCAAGTTATTACTGTGAAAAGAGAACAGCTGTCCCAGCTTCAATGGGATAATCCAACACCAACTACCTGGACACCAAGATGGTCAATCCCTGTCTGCGACCCAAATGGACAGGATGACAAGGACAGAGACCCCATCCGACTTACTAGCAAACCAACCCCTTTAAAGCCATCTCTGCTGTGAGGGGTCAGGACTGATGTGGGTGAAATTTAAAGTCCTAGGCACCCGGTCCCTGGCCTTGGTGCTAAGAGTCGTATCTTAACAGGGCCACCTGTGCCCAAAGCCATGTTCCCCACAGCAGTAGCCGCGTCTCTATGGCTCTTCCTGGCTCTCTATGCTCCTAGCATTTCTTAGAGCAGAGGCAGCGCCCAGAGGCTGGGGGTGCAGGGGGACGGTCACAGGCAAGAGCTGGAGTGACGCCTGTGGGAGGCAGCAGGGGCTAATTATAAGCACGTGGACAAAAATGAACATGGTAATACTGAGGTAAGTGAACACTAAATCCATGTGGAGGCTGTAAACGTCCTATTGTCTCCTTTGTCCCCAAGAGTAGAAGATAGTGCTGGAGCGGTTAGAAGGGCCTGCCTTGGTGAAGACACTATGCCTGGGACACCTCACCGAGGCGGCAAGCATGGATTTCTCAATTGCCTTAAGTTCTTCGTGCCGGCTGGCCTCTGGCAGGCGCAGAACTCTGGCCTGAAGGGACCTTCTGATGCAGGTGCACCTAGAAGCAGGCTCCTTTCCCCCAACTAGATGGCTTTTGATCATTGTGCTCAGGAGAGCAGCCCCCTTCAGCCAGGTACTTACTATAAGCCCTTCTTGGTTCTGCCCTCGTGAAAAAATGGTGGTTTGGGATGAAATGACACTCCTTGCCGTGGTCACCTACAAGGCAGGAGATCAGACTGTCTTCTCTGGAGCCCTTCTTTAAAAGGGCCTGTAAGAAATGGGCCACGGACTAATCTGGTTTGAAAGAAACTAAACATGACCGCTCTGCCTGCCTGGTTCTTCCTAAGAGCCACTAGCCGGGCGGGTCCAAATCAACACCAATGCCTGGCTGGAAAAGCTGGTAATCGGTGATGTCTCCCTGCTTTTTTTGCATATGTCAGGCTAATTTAACAGGGGTTTTATTTCCAGAGAATTATTAGCCCTTTCTTGAGAAAGAGGGGCAGAAGTCCTGGACAAGAATCTGAAAAACTGGTAGCAAGAACTCAGCACTTCCGCAGAAGGCAGCTATGGAAAAGCTCCCACCCGCACCTCCCCAGGGTTGCTGGGTGTCAAGTCCCTCTCACCTCCCTCCAGCACCGACCCCACCGGCTCCGCCCTCCACAGCTCCTGGACATTAGTTCTCATTTCATCCACTCTTGCACTTGGGGACATTCTGGGGGTCAGTTTTTGGTTTCACTCAGTCCTCTCTCTCGGGGTAGTTTTGGGCAAGTTCTGATCTTCTTTAACGTTTCTCCATTCCCCTTCCTCCCCCAGGGCAGTTTGATGTTGGTCCTTCTCAACACACACTGGTTACAAACACAGCAAACTTTAAATAAAGGAAAAAAAAAAAAAAAAACAACTCAGAATATGGCACCTAAACTCCAAAGTAAAACACTGGAAACCAAAGCACAAACTCGTCCTCTGTACGAAGCGAAACTCCCACAGAAGGCAGTAGCCGCGTCTTCAGGGCGAGCTGTGCCTGCGAGAGTGGCAGGGATCAGGGTCCGGGGCTGCCAACACACAGCCTAGGGCTTCACCTCACTAAGGTGCTCCTCCCCAACTTACCAGAGACCCTCTCACTCCAGTCTGAGGGGAGCACGCTCAGTAGGGCTTGCTGTCATTCTTCGAACGTTTGAGCTGCACTTTGAGCCGCTTCATGCCAATCTGAAAGCCGTTCATGGACTGGATGGCAGCTTGAGCCGAAACAGGATTGTCGTAACTTACAAAACCTGTGTGTCCAAGCAGAAACCTAGGTGAGGGACATAACGAGGCGAGGAGATTCTCAGTCCTCCTCACGCAGAAATACCTTATGTGCTTAGCCTCAATCCCAATTTTTCTCAGCAGGGACAAAAAATCCAAAAATTGTATATCGCATAAAATAAATCAGGTTCCTAAGAGTGCCACCTGCCATTGATGTGGTTGGTTACTTTTAGTATTTTAGCCAAGACCTTCTCCATGTATTATTTTACCCTCTGGAAAGACAGTGCAGGCAGAAATCATCATGCCCATTACAGAAGTGAAAAACTCGGAGGCCTGCCATGGCTGGGGTGGCTCTGGGGGTTGAGCGACGGCCTGAGAAACAAAAAGGCGCCGGTTTTGATTCCCAGTCAGGGCACACACCTAGGTTGTGGGCCAGGTCTCCTTGTTGGGGGCATGTGAGAGGCAACTGATAAATATAGCGCTCACACATTGACGTTTCTCTCCTTCTTTCTCCCTCCCTCTAAAAAAGTAAATAAATAAAATTTTAAAAAAACAAAAACTGAGGCTCAGAAAGAGGTCACATAATTCTGCACCAGGATGAGTTAAACAATAACCCAAACTCCATCCCAAGTCTCTGCTATCAGCCCCTTCCCTTCCTTTCTTAGTGGTAAAAATAATTACCACACCCGACACACACACCAGAAGAGAAGCCAACATACCAAAACACTTGCTCAGGTTTGTCTGCTTGTCTATAAAAACCTTGGCAGACACGACATTCCCAAAGGGCATAAACATCTGCAGCAGGTCCTGATCTCCAAACTCCTGGGGCAGGTGGTAGATGAACAGGTTGGCTCCCTCTGGACCTTCAAGACACCCATTGATTGAAAAGGTATCAGTGTGAAGCCTGCTTATCCCCCTGCACCATCTTGCATTTCCCTCTGGTGTCAAAAGTGTCAGCACCCCAGCAAACAGATTCTCCGAATACAAAGCAGGGAACTGAAGGGCAACCACGGAAACAGACCCCTTCCCTCAGCCTTGCTCCGTGTCTCATAGAGGGATGTCAGAATTTGATCCTGTGGGAGGAAGGTACTGTTACACAATAAAGTAGGCAAACCTCCACGTGTAGCATAAAATCAGAGACTAGACGCTTGTAGAAAAACGTAGAAAAGGAGGTAGAAAGTTATAAACAAAACAGGTTTCAAAATTATGCCTATAAATTACAAGAACAGCAAATAGATTAGTAACTGCTAGAGGCAGGAAGCAGGGACAAGGAAATGACTACAAAGGGACATGAGGGAACTTCTGGGGGGATGACAGAAATGTTGTTTGTGATAGCGGTCGGACAGTTGTACGCATCCATTAAAGCTCACAGAGCTATATTCCAAAAAAGGTGACTTACCTTATGCCAATTGTACCTCAGTGAAAAGAAATTACTTTTTAAACTATGATTAACACTGAGCTCAAAAATAGAACATGCTTTCTTCCTCCCACCCCTCAACGCTTTTCTAACCAAAGAGTTTCAACACAACCGCTGCGCAGCCACGCTGAAGCCACCCCGGCCTCCCCGCCGGTACTCAGCGCATCGGGGAACACTGCCACCTCAGGGCCTCTGTCCTTGCTGTTCCTCTGCCCCCATTACTCGTCTTCCTCTGTTTAAAGGGCTACTTAGAGAGACCATCTCTAAGCACTGCCCATCCCCCTTTCTTGTTTGTCTTGCTTCAAAGCATCACTTGGAACACCTCATGCTTTTACTTGTTTACTGCCTGTCTCCACAGTGCCACCAGTTCTCCAACTACCACATCCTAAGGCACAAAAACATCTGACTTAGGGCAGGTAAGGATACACTAAACCAGGACTCCTTGCTGCTTTGGCAAGAGAGGATGCTTGTTTTCTTCCTATCTTAGTGCTCAAATCTTGTCAACTCTTGGTTATAAAAGCCCAGTCAAATATAAGCAGAGAGGTATAGCAGGACTTTCTATTCATACAAACTACCTCAGGCCTCTTTCTGCCTAGACAGCCTCTCCTAAATTTAGTACCATTTATATTCAAGATACATACTTTTCCTGCATCAGCCCATGGGCCAAAGCTCTTTCTGTCCCATCAGCTGTCTGTCATCAACTAGTTAAATGCATAGATAGGAAAATGAGGACAATGCCAAAATATAGCTAAAAGGGATATCCATACAGAATATATATCCTCTGATAGATTTGTAACCCATAGAAAAGACTTCCTCCTGGCTGATGGCTCAGTGGATTTAACGCTGGCCTGTAAACCAAAGGTCGCCAGTTTGATTTCCAGTCAGGGCACATGCCGAGGTTTTGGGCCAGGCCCCCAGTAGGGGATGAGCAAGAGGCAACCACACACTGATGTGTCTCTCTCCCTCCCTCCCTCCCTTCCACCAACCCCAGTCTAAAAAATAAATGAATAAATAAATAATCAATCTTTAAAGAGAGCGAAAATCAATCTTTAAAGAGAGCGAATTATTTTTCACTTAAAAAAAAAAAAGACAAGATTTCCTAGTAAAAAAAGATTGTTTCTTCATATAAAAATGGCAGCCCCATTCCAGAAGGACAATCAGAGGTTCTGCTCTGAGCCACATCCAGAAAGTGTTCCAAAAGCAGGTCATACTTAAGTTCCTCAGCATTACCTTCGACACTGCCCAAGTAAAGTGGCAGTCTGACCACCTCAATGGTTCCCCAGGCCTCTGCATGCCTTTCAGATCTGGCGCAGGTGTGAGAAACCACCCCTGTCCCCAAGTCCAGGCTCCCGCTGCGCTCACCTTCCTTCTGACTGCCAGCAGCACCGATGCTCTGCTGTGTCAGCAGGTTCTGGTTGTAGAGAGTGGGCAGCGCCGCGGCGGCGTACTGCTGGATCCCCGAGTAGGCCTGCGTGAGGGCCTCCATGGTGCTCCCAGTGCCATTGGAAAGGCCACTGCTGCCCAGACCCCCATTTAAAGCAGCCATCCCTTGGGCGGGGGAGAGAACAGGATTTAGAGGACTGAAGAAACTCAATCAACACCCAAGAAAAACTCCAAAGTCCTCCCTTTTATCTTGCTCTTGGCGCCATCCTGAGGAGAAATATCCATGTGAACGGTCAGACTTCAGGACACTCACCAGGCCTTACTGCTCATGGAGATACTACCTTCTTTCAATCTGTGTGAGAAGTGATACCACTTACACACGACTTGCCCCATTTTCTCTTTGGACATTCCACTGAGCAATGTGCTCAGCACTTTACCTGTGTTCTCATTTAACTTAATAACCCTCAAAGTATTCTATTCCCACTTCATAGACGAGAAAACGACCTTGGAAATGTGGTTGAAAGTTACAGCCATTTAAGGGGCAGAGGTAGACTTTCACTCAGGTCTGGCTCAAAATCTCATGATTATTTTTAAGTTCACTGGGTCACGTCATCATCCTAACAGTGCTCTTACCTCGGCAGTTTCCAGTGTGCCACCCACACAAAGAAAGGCCCGAGGACGCCCGGGGGCTGCCTCTTACCTGCCAGAGAGCTGACGTTGAGGCCTGCCGTCGCTCCAGCTAATGTCTGCAAGGCTCCAAGGGAGGCAATGGGGTTGACAGAGCTGCTGCTGCTGGAGCTCGGTGAAGACCCTGCTGCCAGAAATCCATGAGTTAAACTCAGGCCAACACTCCTTCTCGTATCAACAGGAACAAAAGCCCAAGAGTGATACTACGTAAGTATTCTCTTCGTAAGGAGCTTTTCAGTTACTAATTTTGATAACTGTTCCTGCTGAACATAAAGTCCAATAGTTACAAGAAATTAAACATTATGAGATGCCTCAAGTCGGAAGATGGCATACGAAAATCTATTGTTCATGATCTGTCCCCTTTGGAAATGGGTGTTAACTACGCTCCAGAATGATATACCCCTCTCTTGGGGTCCTGCCCAAGGCACCCAAGGGCCCTCTGGCCCGTTACATGCTTACCTGAACTGGTGAGTACGCTGAGGGGACTGCTGGATGTAGTGAGAGCATTGGTACCACTTGGTGTGTTCTGAGCAGCGCTAGCTGCAGCAGCTAGGGCAGCCAAATTCTGTAACTGCATTGCATTTAACCCTGCAACATCCAAAGCAAGAGATCAGTGAACAGATAAGGGTGCCTTCTATCTGCTCCAGCAATGATAGCGCACAATGATGGAAGGCCAGTTTCAAAGAAGAGATGTTCTAGATAAGCCTTATGAGCAACTCTAAGGGCTCCAAAAAAAATTCAGATATCACTCAACTCATCAAGAAACCTGACATACCTTCCTTGGAAGAGTTATCTACTCCAATTGCACGCCACCCTAAGTGAGCAATTATCAAGGGACAGGAAACCAGGGAAGAGAGGGAAGCCTGTGGTCTATCTCGGGGCCAGAGGACAATGCTGCAACCTGCAGCACAGAGTGGGACTGCGTCCGAGCCCCTCGCTCAGACTTTACAGGGAATGTGTTCTTTGAAATGCAGATAAACAAGAAGAAAATATAGCAGAGACCCAGAACAGGAGGAACAAAGGGGGAGAACATGTGAGAATGGCAAGAGGAGAAAGAATAAAGAAAAATCACCCCTGGAATAGCAGATTAGTCATAAGAGAGGGGGGGAAAAAAAAAAAACCAATGAGGGAAAGAAAGACTTCCAAATAGAACCTAAGCAACAATGAAAAGGAGAGCAAGAAATACAAACTGCACTGTGCCGCAAACCATTCAGCAGATATTCAGCAGATGATGGAAAGGACTAAGGATGGCGGCGGCGGGGGGGGGGGGGGGGTGGAAGAGTTAATGAGAATAAAAAACTACAACACAGATTTATAATCCAGCAACATTCTGAGTAAAGCAAACCATCAAAATTTTTCAAATGGCAAAATGGAGCTCACCCAGAACCACTCCTTTCTCAAAGCCATCTGCCTAGCCTTATCCCACTGCCAAGGGGCAGCGACAGGTAGGTCTGACACTCCCCACCCCCACTAACTCATTCTCACAGACCCTGCCTCAGGTTTACCTGTGGAGCCACATTTTGTTATCAACTCAAGTATTTTGTCAATTAAGTTTTCCATGCATGTGAACTGCAACAAATTCACCTACGGCATAACCTATATAAGATACAGAGATAAACTGCCTGCCTGGATTCTAGCAACTTCAGAGTAAGCAATGTGCATGTAAGCCTTCTTAGGCTTTTCTTCAGAGTCCCTGGAAAAGTCCCTTTAGTGTGGAAACAAGAGCTGCAGCAATTTTCTCCTGATCAAAATGGTCTCTGATAGTCTGCAGGTGCTAATAGCTCTTTTCCATCATCTTCCTTAACAGAGATTTATAGGGTTGGGGAACAGAAGACAATCCCAGAACAATCTGGCATCAATGACTAATAGAGTCACCTTCTAGAGACAAGGCAGTTGAGTCCTGGGATGTTCGTCTCATGTCAGGTATATGTGAGTGGGAAAAAAAAAAATTTTTTTTTTTCTGCACAACGGTGCAAAACTCTGAGACTGCTGTTAGCTGGGTCTGTTGGCCTGGCTGCTGCTGCTCCTCCGCAGCAGTGAAACACTTACCTCCCATTGGGTGGAGGCTGCTCAGGGTGTTGAGGTTCCCAGAGGAGGCAGTCTGCTGAAGGAGCTGCAAATAAAGCTAGACATTACACCAAAAAACAGAACAAGAGTGAGAGTGAGGGCTGGTTCTGCATCTGGGATAACTCTACAGCACAGCAAAGCGAGAGTGCAGAGGCCCCCAGAGAGAGGAATGTTGAAGACAAGAACCCAAGCCAACACAACAGAAACAAGACTTAGGACAGCACAGGACAATACAACACAGCTAAAGCCCTGGCCCAGAAGACAGTAATGTTCACTGAGTACTGAGCCAAGCTCAAGTGCCCGGGCAAGAGGACGCAGCACAGCAGAGGACAGAAGAAGAGCAGGGAACTAAGCTCCACTGAAGTAGCTATGTAGTCAACTGCGATGAGTGTTTGGTATGGGTGACTGCCATTTCTATTTCCTCTCCCCCAAGTTCTCCTTAGGTAAGTCCATACATCTTATTTTATAAATTGTTTCCATCTGGATACCCAGTTTCTATGTCAAACAACTATTTTAAATATCAGATCTGACCATTTCAGGGTATTTCTTGGAGTTACTCTTTACCGGCCACAACAGACCCATGACCAGATCACTCTCCCAGGCTACTCGTCCATCGTGCCCATTTATCTCCTCCCCTCCAATTGGTATTCACTGCTGCAGATGACCAAATGATTGAGGGATCGGTCCATTATCAGTTCAGTGCATTCTCTCTAAAAGATTTTATTTATTTTTAGGGAGAGGAGAAAGGAGAGAGAAACATGATATACAAGAGAAAACAGCAACTGGTTGCCTCTCTCATGCCCCCAACTGGGGACTGGACTTGCAACTCAGGCATGTGTCCTGATAAGGAATCGAACTGGCAACCTTTTGGTCAGCAGGCCAGCACTCAATCCACTGAGCCACACCAGCTGAGGCTCAGTGTACATTCTCTTTCAATGGATACCCCATAACAAATGAAACAAAAGAACCTGTCTGTGAGTTTATGGATCTCCAAGGCCTCAACTTTATTCTGTATCTTAGCAAACCACAATCTTCATCTAACCAACCTGCTAAAAACCTTTGCTCCATTCAAATGTAATCACTGTTCTTTATGGACAACTGGTGTTCTCGTTTCTAGATCCTTTATTAAAACTGTTGTCCATTCCCATAAATATCTGACTTGGTTTCTCTGTCATGAATACCTTTAGTCCACAGGTTTCAGAAAGTCCACAAACCTCCGGAAACAGAATGAAAAAAAAAAAAAATGCACATATAATTTTTACCAGGTTCTCAAAGGGCTCCACAACCACACAAAGACTAAAAACCACTGCTCTGGTCCAACAGAGATTAGGTTCAATCCACATATTCCCAGAAAAAAACTTTATAACTAATGATATGCACTATCAATTACATAGCCTATTAGCATCCACGTCTTCATTTTCGTCTTCTTAAATGCCTTAGGCAATGTGTTCAGTCCCAACTAGTGGACTGTGTATACTGTACTTGGCCCCTCCATTTCCTCCATAAACAGGAACAACTCTTAGGGAGGGGATCACATCTAACTTAAACAAAGCACAGCTCTCATGATACATGATCACTTACTTGCTAGCAACGACAACAAGAAAGGGAGTGTTCCCTGAAAAGAAGCTCTAAACTCTCCAAGAAACATAAACGCACATCATGGAGATCATTTTCAAAGCATTATCATTTTGGCAGACGATATCTCTGAATTTCCTAAACTTTTAAGCAACGTTCTGGCACTAAGAAACAATTTGATCTGCTGAAAAAGAACAACTATCTATACTTTTTGACTTTAGAGAAATACTAGCTATAATGAACTAGGATTTCTAATACATTTGAAATATGGAGACGGCGGGTAGGGGGGATCAAATTAGCCAAAATTCAGTACTGGGGGACAAAATCATTGCCTTTCTTGTGTTTCTGTACAGAATAATCTTTATAAGAATAAGGAGTGTGTGACTCTAATCGTTCCTATGTATATATTTTTGGACTATCCATATAAATCTAGTGGTTTCATCATTTAACTTCTTTCATGGGTAGCTTTACAGATTACTTTTTCTTTCTGATTCACAGATGGCACAGTTTTAATTATGTTGTCCTGTCTGCAATTTCTTTTAAAAGTTTAAGCAGTGAAAATCCGCAATATTACAGATCTAGTAAATCTTAATGATAAATGGCAGCTGGCCCCTCTTTTGGACTATATGACTTAAGTTCAACAATAGAGAGATCAAATGAAAAGAAAATCTATTTACAATATAGTGAATTCAAATATACATCTGTAATACTCATTTAACAACGTCCATGCTTGATCTCTCAATTAGAAAGAAAGTTATGATACTCTTCAGGGAGACTCAGAAATGTCTTTAATAATGTCCTCTACACCTGGTAGAAAAAGATATGGAGAAAAATATTTGGTAGTTAAGATTCTCTCAGGAATTTTTTTTTCTTGGGGGCAGGGATATGAGATGTTTCTAAGTCTTTTTATTAAGAAGTTACGATTTCATGTTAACTCAAGATATAACCAAAGCCTCAAGATATAGTCAAAGACGTGTGACCAGAGAGAGATAAAATAACATGACTTAAAGAATACTGCATTGCCTGAATGTTTACATAAAATTTCAATGTGCTAGAAGCTGTAAATGCCACTGTGTCTGTTAGCTGGGGATAGCAGAAGAAACAGCTGGGAGCTTGCACAGTCTGCAGAAAGCAAACCACAAAGACTCACTGCTAAATACTGGGGTCCAAGAGTATTTAGACCAGCAAGATTTCCCCACACAGATGCTGCGCTGATCTGCTGCATCTGCTGCTGGAGCTGCTGGGCCATTCTCTTCTGTTCTTTGTCCTTCTGTGTATCAGCAAATTTTACCACCATGGGGGATGAGCAACCCTATGAAAACACCAAAACCAAAGGGTCAAATTCCTCCTTTGGGTGTAGGAAAAATCCTCCTTTCTAATGATGCATAGGCTCCATTCTATTTCATTCACTGCCAAATGATTCTCTTCCTGATACACATAAATGGTAAAAGATAATTTAAAAGGGCACCTAGTTATAATATGTTAATTTTAATGTTAATTTAATAACAAGCAATATGTTATAGAAACCATTGGTTTTTAACTTTAAGATGTTTGGCCTACTTAGCTTTTAGAACAATCAGATGCTATATGTGCTGCTGGCTTTGAAGTCCAAAAGTCCTAGCACTCTTAGGCTAAGGAACTTCCCCCTTGCATTCATCTGTTCCCTACCTCCATGGTCTGTGCTTGGTGCATTGCCTTGATAGCCGTCTGTGCCATGGCTCTTGTTGTAAAAGTCACAAATGCACAACCTGATAAGAGAGGGATAACTCATTCATTCATTTCCTTATTTATTTATAGACATCAATTGAGCACTTAACTATGTGCCAAGTACCATGCTAGCAATACAGACGTGGTTCCCGCCTTCAGGAGTTCATGAGCTAGTGGAAGAGAGAGCCATGTTATACCAGGGTGGTAAGTGCTAAAAACCAAGGAAGCATAGACAGGTAACGAAGTGCTTGAGGAATAAAAGAGGATTCATAGTCTCTAGTTCCTCTTGAGAATAAAGGCCTTCCATTTTGACATTGAGAACATCTCTAAGCATAAAAAGAGAAAATTTTAATACATGACAATGAAGGGCAGAATATAAACTCCTTAAGGATGATGGGAGACTACAGAAGGGATCAAACCGCAGGAGGAATTGTGACAGGACCCAGACATATAACACCAAGCCCAACCTCTCCATTCTGACAGAGCCATACTGGCTAGAGATCACTGGTGTCCACTGGTCCAATTAAAAAGAGAATCCAAATCCAAGATGAGCATCTTGGGAGTTTAAAATTGTACCCACCTCGGCTCAGTCCATCAGGTCCCCGCAATATCCGACATTCTTCAATCTGTCCAAATGAAGAGAACATGACTCGGATGTCATTTTCAGTGCACTTCTTGGAAATCATCCCAATAAACAGCTTCCTGTCTTCCACTGCTGAGAGAGTAAAACACAGAAGGTTTGAACATTATTTTACGAGAGAGAGTAGCCCAGAGACTCAGGAGTCAGGACCACCTCGGTTTGAACCCTGGCTCTGGTGTCTGGATACCATTTTCAGATTCTAGGATATACTTTGTTCCTCCCCTTACACACAATGGTATCTTAACGTTACCAGTGGAAGCACTTAGATAAAATAAAGTAGCTTTGTGATCTACCATTACATGCCTGTTTCCTCATCTGATTGATAGATAATGGGTTTACCCCAAAGGTAGCTCTATGTATTATTAAATGCACAGTGCTCAGATTCTTATCTAGCACTTAGTAATATTTGCTCTTACTAGCAATACTACTACACTGTACTAACGAATGAGTTTTCAGACTTCATTGCTATGACTAGAGAAACAGGGTACACCTTTCAGAGAGTCTATCCACTTTCCTTTTCTAACTGTCCTCTTGAAGACTAAGCTTTTCTTCTTTACTTATTCATTTCCCCCCATCACTTCTGTCCATAAGAAATCACATCGATCAAAACATTCCAACTTCCAGTCAAGATGGGAGCATTGGTAAACATGGCTAGCCTTCTTACACAAAAACATAAAAATTACAACTAAAATATTAAACCATCACTCAGAAGCATCAAAATCAAGTTGAGCTCTGGCCAATGTGGCTCAGCGGATTGAGCGCCAGCCTGTGAACCAAATGGTCGCTGGTTCGATTCCCCAGGGCAGGGCACATGCCTGGGTTGCGGGCCTGGTCCCTGGTAGGGGGTGTGTGAGATGTAACCACACACTGATGTTTCTCTCCCTCTCTTTCTCCCTTCCTTCCCCTCTCTAAAAGTAAATAAAATCTTAAAAAAAAAAAACCAACAACAACAACAAAAAAAACGGAAATCAGGTTGAACTGAAGTCTGACAACTACGGAATTAAAGAAACCACATCCATCCTGACTGGTAGGAGCGGCAGAGATGCAGAACAAGCTGGTTCTACATCCACATGTGGCGGATAAAAATTCGGGAGGGATACTTCGGGAGCAAGGAGTCCCTGCCCCACAGTAGACCTCCCCCCACCAAATCCAGGGTTCCAGTGCCAGGAAAATAAGTCCCCATAACTTCTGCCTGCAAAGACCAGAGGGGACTGGGTTGGTGGAAGAAACTGCTAGAGCCTCCAGCAGTTCCTCTTAATAAAGAATCCACACACAGACTTACTCAGACTCCCTCCCTCTGAGCTCTAGCATCAGGACAGCAGTTTGAAAGGCACCAGCGGCATACAGGGCGGAAACTGAAATGTCTGGCTTCAAGGAGAAAGCTGGGGGACAGCTTTCTCCCAGACAGAAAGGTGGGCAGAGGCCACTGTCCCTTTTCTGAACTCTCTTGCGACAGAGCTACAGAGCTGGTAGCCATGCCATATCTGGGACTCCATCAACCTGGCTAGCACTGTTTCACCCACCTGGGAGAGCCCCAGAGATTCCACCCCTCCTAACTTACTGGCCCACCAAAGCTGTTTTTCCGTATGAATGGCTAGCCTTGGCTCATGCTTCACAACTTTCTAAATCCTCTCAAATAAGCAACGGTCAGCCTTAGTGAACCCCCAGCCCCATATCTTTTGCTAAGAGGCCCCAGGCCTGGCACTAGCAGCAAACAGCCTAGGTTCACAGCTTGGCTTTGCCTGGGAATCTCCAAACCTAAGTAACACAAGTAGCAGCCATCTCAGATTGCTTTATAGCTCAGGCAGGGTGAACCTGGGGCAAAACACAGGTGTAGGCTGACTTTGGTCTGCACCATCCAGGAAACACCATAGTGTGCACACCCAGTAGACAGCTACAGACCACATTAGAGCACCACCACCCTGCCCCTGCACAGCTGATCCTCCAGAGGGTGAAGGTTGGTGGTCAGTGGTCACAGCTAGTCCTTGCCGTTGACTGGCCTGGGTAAATCTCTCCCACTGATGTGCCAACAGCACTCAAGGCTCAACTATAAGAGGAGGGTGTAATCAGCCCCCACGAAGGGCACAGGGCACACCCTGAGTATCCCGCTTGGGTGACAGGAGGCTGTGCCACTGGACCATACAGGACACCTACTACATTAGTCCACACTACCAAGACACGGAGTCAAAGCAGCTCCACTTAATACATAAAAACAAACACAGAGAGGCTGCCAGAATGAGGAGACAAAGAAACATGGCCCAAATGAAAGGACAGATGAAAATCCCAGAAAAAGAACTAAACAAAAGGGAGACAAGTAATCTACCAGATGCAAAGTTCAAAACACTGGTTATAAGGATGTTCAAGGAAGTTAGTGAGGACCTCGACAGCATAAAAAAGATCCAATTGGAAATGAAGGATATACTAATTGAAATAAAAAACAATTTACAGGGTAGAATGAGATGAAGCTAAGAATCAATGATTTGGAACATAAGGAAGAGAAAAACAACCAATCAGAACAACAAGAATCCAAAAAAAAAAAATGAGGATAGCATAAGCAGCCTCTGGGACAACTTCAAGAGCTCCAACATTTGTATCCACAGGGGTGACAAAAAGGGAAGAGAAAAAGCAAGAAATTGGAAATCTCTTTGAAAAAATAATGAAAGAAAACTGCCCTAATTTGGTGAAGGAAAAAGACATCCAAGTCCAGGAAGCACAGAGTCCCAAACACGATGGAGGCAGAGAGGCCCACTACATGACACATCATAATTGAAACGCCAAAGGGTAAAGATAAAGAGAGAGCCCTGGCTGGTGTGGCTCAATGGATTGAGCACCAGCCCTTGAACCAAGGGGTCTCCTGTTCAATTCTCAGTGTAGGGCACATGCAGGGGTTGCAGGCTAGGTCCCCAGTAGGGGGCACACAAGAAGCAACCCCACATCGATGTTTCCCCTTTCTCCCTCCCTCCTCCTCTGTCTAAAAATAGATAAATAAAAACCTTAAAATAAATAAAAAAGATAAAGAGAGAATCTTAAAAGCAGCAAGAGAAGTTAGTTATCTACAGGGAAGTTCTCGTAAGACTGTCAGCTGATTTCTCAAAAGAAACTTTGCAGGCTAGAAGGGATTGGCAAGAAACATTCAGTCATGAAAAGCGGGAACCTACAGCTGACCTATCCACCAAAGCTAGCATTTAAATTGAAGGGCAGATAAAGAGCTTCCCAGGCAAGAAAAAAACTAAAGGAGTTCACCTTCACCAAACCATTATTATATGAAATGTTAAAGGAACTTATTTAAGAAAAAGATCAAAAGATCAAAACTATGAACACAAAAATGGTTAATAAGTACTTACCTATCAACAATTGAATCTAAAAACCAAACTAAGCAAACAAGAACTGAGAAAGAATCATGGATAAGGAGAGCATTTTGATGGTTGACAAACTGGGGGTTGGGGAGGGCGTGTTTGGGTGAAAACGTGAGGTGATTAAGAAGTACAAATAGGTAGTTACAGAATAGCCACGGGGATGTAAAGTACAGTATAGGAAATGGAACAGCCAAAGAACCCACACATGACCCACTGGCATGAACAATGGTGTGGGGACTGTCTGAGGGAGTGGGGGTGCTGGGTGGAGTTGGGGGGGCACAAAGGGATAAAACTTGGACAATTCTAATAGTATAATCAATAAAATTTTTAAAAAGTTCCAGTTCCTCTAAACTGTTCTTATAATGTTTCCCTATCAACTCTATTTACCTTGGTTATTTACATTTATTTTAAAGGAAAAAAATAGACAATTTAGATGACATTACTTAATGCACTGAACCACTACCTTATACAATACTCAAAAAAAAAAAAATAACTAAAATGGATTAGACCTGAATGTAGTACCTGGAACCATAAAACTCCTAGAAGGAAATCACAGGTGGTAAACTCCCTGACATTAGTTTTGGCGATGACTTTTTTGGATTTGACTCCAAAAGCAAACACAACAAAAGCAAAAATAAAGAAGTGAGACTACATTAAACTAAAAAACTTCTGCACAGCAAAGGAAATCATCAACAAACTGAAAAGGTAATCTATGTATGTGAGAAAATATCTGCAAACCATGTATCTGATGAGTTACAGTTCAAAATATGTAATATCAGGAAAACGCAAATCAAACCACAATGAGGTATCATAGCACATCACATCTGTTAGAATGGCTATTATCAAAAGGCAAGTAAATAAATGTTGGTGAGAATGTGGAGAAAAGAGAACACTTGTATACTGTAGGTGGGAATATAAATTAGTGCAACCATTATAGAAAACAGTATGGAAGGCTCCTAAAAAACTTAAAACTAGAACTACCATATGATCCAAAATTCCACTTGTGGGTATTTATTTGAAGAAAAATGAAAATGCTAATTCAAAAGTATACAGCAAACCGATGTCTACTGGAGCATTATTTACAATAGCCAAGATATGAAAACAACCAAAGTATACATTGATGAATAGCTAGAGAAAATGTGTGCGTACACATACAGGATCGGGGGCAGAGGGGAGGAGGGGGAGAGGGGAGGAGGGGGAGCAGGAGGAAATATTCAGCCATAAAAAGTGAAGGACATCTTGACATTTGTGACAACATGGATAGAGCTTAGGGGCATACGTGAAACAAGTCAAACAGGGAGAAACAAATACTGTATGATCTCTCTTGTATGTGGAATCTTAAAAGGAAACAAAAACCCAAGCCCATACAGAAAACAGACTGATGTCTGCCAGAGACAGGGCATGTGAGGTGGACAAAAGGGGTGATGGGGCTGAAAAGGTACAAACTCCCAGTTATATTTGAAAGCTGCTAAGAGAGTGTATCTTAGGAGCTCTTAACACAAGGAAAGTGGTTTGTTTGTAACCATGTGTGGTGATGTTATCTAACCTTACTGTGGTGATCATGTCACAACATATATCAAAATGTTATGATATACATTTGTAATTAATATAATGCTCGATGTCAATTCTACCCCAAAAAGAAATTACTTAGCACACAATGCAATCCAGATGTCATGAGAACAGCAAACAAACCAGGAAGAAGCCTGGCAAGGGGGAAGCCTATGTGCTTGCTTACCATTGTTCTTCTCGCTGTCAGCAGGTTTCATTTGTATAGGATGATGCATCTAAAAAGGAGAACACATGGATATTACCATTGTACACCCTAAAGGCATTCAGAAATATGAGGACTCTTAAAGGAGTACCAAAACGAAAGCCCGTAAGAGTTTTCTTGAACTTGCATCTGACTACCTCATGACCTTTCCCCCACAAAATATAAGGACAGAATGTTGAGTCAAGCAATCAAAATTCTCTTGGCTGAGAGAGAACTGCTTTCAGCAGTACATTCATTCGTTTTACAGTCATCCTTCCCCCAAAATGGTTTTCAGTGTGTACCTGATACATTTAAGTATGTTCCATGTGTCAAAACCACCACAGTTCCACTTACTAGTAGGAGCTTTCTTACCCCTGGGAGGACCTTCATGTTGTGAAGAGCATTCTGTGCTTCTAACGCAGCTTTGCGGGTGTAAAATGTAACAAAACAGCACCCTGCAATAAACATGATTTTACAAAATTAAACCAGTCCTTTAAAAGAAGAAATTCCTAGAGCATGCAGTCCTCCCTGGACATACAAGGCTAGAGCAAAAGAGGTTTACAGTTGTGTGAGAAATACAGTTTATTCTTACATTGTTTTTTGTTAGTTATTTTCCATACAAACAACTATAAAACTACTTTTGCCCTATCCTTCATTAGAAGGATAGAAGGAAAGGGTGGGTTTATTAAAATTGGCAAGTGAGGGGAGAGTGCACGCACAGGGGAGACAGTGACACAGAACCTAGCAGAGAAAAAAAACACATTATTTTCTATGCATTGTCTTCATTGTTATAGTCTCTTAGTTCTTTATTTTTAATTTTTATTCATTGATTTCAGAGAGAGATCAAAGTGGAGGGGGGAACGAGGGAGGGGAGGAGAGATGGGCAGAGACATCGACTTGTTATTCCACGTGTTTACACATTCATTCATTCATTGGTTGCTTCTTATCTGTGCCCTGACCAGGGATAGAACCTGCAACCTTGGTATATCAGGACAGTGTTCTAGCCAACTGAACTACCTGGCCAGGGCCTCGTCTCTCAGTTCTATTAAAACTCTTCTTTAACTGTTCCTATAACTTCTTTGGAAAAGATGACTTCCCTTACAAAGGTCACAGTACCAAGCCATTCAACACACCCCCAAAATTTGGAGCACTGGATAGTGTTCTGGGCAAGAGCACTCAGCTACAAACAAGACAGACAAGGACCCTGAATTCTTGTGGCTCTCTGTCTACTACAAACTCTTTTTTTTTAACTTCTTTTTTTTTTTTAGAACAAACCACTCCTTACATTGTAGCCAATTTTTACCATATGCCTCAAATGTAATTATCATTTATTAAATTATAGAATGGCTTAAGAGCAAGACCCTCTTAGTATCTTTTTTTGGACTCTTGGTTCTCATCAAATATAATTAAACTTCTAACAGCACATGGTGCTGACTGAAATCTGTAGGCTTTTTTTTTGTATCTTTGCTGAGGATACGAGGGAAGAGGTCTATCTTGTAAATCTCGTGTCCACAGTCCATGAGATATGACACATAGTTCTTTCAAAATCACTCTGCAATTAAGATTTTAAATTATTGCACATTATATTGCCAGTCATTTTCAGAAACTACAGTACTTTATATTTTTGGTTAACTATGCCAACAAGAGAAAATAATTTTTGCCTCTAGATCCTGTTATTAAAACTGGTTTCAAACATAACACTTCTACTTGTTCACATTTGCACTGTAGAACAGTTTTCACAGAAAATTACTCTGAATTGGCCACTTGGAAAAATAAGAATATGTGGTGTAGGGGCAAAGCAAATGTCTTATTTACCACCAGTCCTCTGAAACTCCCATCTGCTGGGTTTTTCTGGAAGCAGCTCAGCCTTCCTTCTCCTGTTCGTTTTATAAGCTATAGCAAACAAGTTCTCTATAAACAAGGCCCTCCTAACTTGCTAAGCCATCCTGCAAGGCCTCTGTATACTCTAACAGAAATCCACGGGTCCATGGACAGTCTTCTTCTTTCAGCTTACCCTAGCCAAAACACTAAAGAAAACCGTATATGGTTGGTTAATTTAAACTTAATTTTTGTCAGTCCATTCATTCCCAAGATCAAACGAGATGCTCACATGGGTCTGTCTGTTGAATTGAGAGCTCTCACAAAGGGATACTCAAGATCCAATTTACAAACCGTCCTCATTAAGTCACCGTAACTTATTTTTAAGCCACAAAGTGTGTTTGAGCTGGAATATATAGCTACTATAAAATAACAGATTCTTCCTGCCCCCCGCCACCATATGACCATAGGAACATTCTGGAAGTAGAACATGCACATGACAAAAATTACACATAAAACCCAAACCCTCACCTTTGCTCTGAGGAGGGTTTTGGCTCCTATCCCTTAGGACGTTGATTTCATAGACAGCACCATACTGTTCAAAGAGTTCCCTCAAGTCCTTCTCAGACCAGGTCCTCGGGACCTGGCCCACAAACATCTTAATAGCATCAAGATCCGGTTGGTCTGGGTGGTCCAGGGTGCCGTTCATTTTCTTTGAGCTGCATTAGATAAAATAAAACTAATATGTATTTATGTTGCTTTCCAGAGGGAGTTTTCTTTGCCTTAAAGATCTCAACTACTTCCTGGGATAGTAGGGGGGAAAATTTTACTTCCTTTCCCCCCATTCAGTTTACCGGAGTTCCCTGGTCTTACCACGGCCACCTCCCACCCCCCAATGAGAGTTAGATCCCAAACTAAAGTCACCATTCCAATTAGCATAGCCTGGGTTTTAATTAAGAAATCGAGTGTCATTTATTCCTTGCCTAGCATGAAAATTCTCAGAAGAATTTAAGAGGTAAAGTGCCTAAGGCAAATTTTATTAATTTTAAACGTCCATAAAAAATCACAAAGGACTGTTGATTGTGAGTAAGATTCAGGACTCTGAATGAATACCGTGATAGGAAAAAAGTTTTCTTTCAGCAGCATTAGAACAGAAGCACTTGATTTCCATGGTCTAAGCTAAGGACTGACTAGAATGTTGGTCTCTGTGGCTGTCTCACGTGCTAATCCTGATGCTCTTTGAGTTAGGCCCCAGACCAAAGCAAAACTGTGCCTCTTAAAATCTAAAAAAAAGGCTTATTTTATAAACACAAACAATGATGTCACCATTCTAAGTTTTCATTGTTTCTAAGTTACCCAATTTAATGCTATTTTTCCAACTTTAGCAGTTAATTTCCTTACCAACTGCAACTATTACAGCATCAACAAATTCCTCCAATCCCATCCCACCAAATTTGTAATGCTCATACTTCAACATCTTCATATTACTACCACTGCAACTGCCAATAACCTAGGGGGATTCTTGCAGTATAAATATTTCTACCATGCAAAATAAATCAAAGACCTTCTCTACAGTGTTTTAAGATCTTATCTATATACCAGTAACAACTTAAATTCCAAAGAGCCAGAAAAATTAACTTTTCCATTAGTGTTTGCTGCTTCATCCAGAATCACATTGCATTCAAATTTGCCATGCTTTAATATTCAATCCTAAATAAAATGATAGTTTTCTCAAAGGAAAAACCACAGTTTTACATCACTGCTATCTTGTGAATAGTATCTGAAGACCCTTGAGGATGACGACTCTAGGAAAGCAGCTCAGTCTGTCTTTTAATCCCTAAATCCCTTATAACGAACACCAGCAATGACTATTCTCGTTAGCCTAGCATTAACTCACTATCAGAAGCTGTTAGGACAATACAGACCAACTCTTTGTGGCTCCATCTGTAAAGGTTCCCCATACTCTGGCTCTGAGTCCAGAGCTCCTTGAATGCAGAAACTGTTTTATTTCCTATTCATTCTTGTAGCCACAGCTGGTACAGTATCTGGTTCAAAGGAAGTACCCAATGTGAGATGGGAGAAATTTCTTGTTCTCTCATTCTCAAACAATTCCCCTATTAAGGAACTAACTATGATAAAAATGAGTGCTGTGCATAGAAAGGGACTATATATTAAAAAGCTGCTATTATCTCTTATGATTACCTGATTGTCACAGGATTAATCTGCCTGTAGTAAAGGGTAATGGGAGCCAAATACATGGTGACAGAAGATGATGTGTCTTTGGGTGGTGGGGACACAATGCAATATACAGAGCATGTACCACAGAAATCTGTACTTGAAACCTATAAAATCTTGTTGACTGGTGTCATCCCAATACATTAATTTTTAAAAAATTACATAAATTTTAAAATGCACTATGATGACTGAAACAATGTCCTTCCCTGTAACCTGCTCCCAAAAACTTTAACTACCAAGTTTAATATTTTATAAAATGTAGCTAATCTTGCCCTGGCTGGTGTGGCTCAGTGGACTGAGTACCAGCCTGTGAACCAAATGGTCACCGATTCGATTCCCAGTCAGGGCACATGCTTGGGTTGTGCACCAGGTCCCCAGTTGGGGGCGTGCAACAGACAACTGATCAATGTTTCTCTTCCTCTCTCCCTCCCTTCCCCACTCTCTAAAAATAAATAAAATATTTAAAATATTGCTAGTCTTTAATTATATTTATATTCTAGGGAGGGTTCACATAAATCCTCAATGGTACTCAGAATATGTTTTGATGATAAGGAAGTTGATACCTATTTTTGGGAAGAGTCAGGGTTTTATTAACTTTATTACATGTAACTGCTTTCAGCATGCCCCTTATGTCTGTATTTGTGTGATGTTTCTAAACTTTCTACATCACTGTTCAGTGCAAAAAAGTAAACATAGTCAATACACATTGATTGTGGTTTATCCAAAAGTTCCGAGCAGACTCAACATTCTAGACAAATACCCTTCTTTCTCTCTTTACTCTCCGAATCCTTCTCCATGTCTTCATTCCACCCACTCCATGAGCAACACCCCCATACCACTTCATTAGAGAGAACTGCTGCCCAAAGTGTCCGAGGGCCAAGGGCAATTTTCAAACTTAAGTCTTCAGAAACTTTTATAGCAAGTGGACCAACTAATTTTATAAATGTTCAATCTAACAACAACAAAAAGACAAAAAAATGTAAACTTACACTTTTGTTTTCTACTCAATACTTTTTAGTTATATTGTAAGTTGGGAGGAGGGAGACAGGACACAGTCCTTCATCAGTTTGAGAAGCGCTTCTACAGCACAGCGAATTATCAGGGCAGGCTCTAGATGCTATGGATATCGTGCAACTGGAATTATGCACTGGCTTGTTCCTTCTTCCAATAAATACTGGGTGCTTACTTACACAGGCCAGGCACTGTATTAGATGTTGTTTACATCAGCGAATATGAAAAACATTTCATTGGAGCACATGAAGACAGAGTTAGAAATAAATAAAAGTAACAACATCAGCTAGAGGTAATCTAGAAAAGGGCAAAGCAACCACACATATGCCTATGTATATATAATAAGCAGTCACAGACTTCCTATTATTGTGTCTGAAGAAATGAGTAACAATGCTCTTCCATCTTCAACCTTTCACACACGCTTCTAGTATGTATGTTGTCCTTAGCTGAAAGAAACCACTGCGTAAAAGTAACCTGGGACAAGAAACTGAGAAACCTAATGTGTCATGCCAAGGATCCCACATCGTTCAGGTATGGCATTTACTCAGGAAATCCATTCTCAAATTTGTGCCTAGCTCCCACTGACGAAGAGCCTCTGAGGGTCAGTGATCTTGAATTAGGTGTATTTATTACACCTACTCAAGTGCCAGTGAAATCAGCAGCCCCCTGGAGAACTGTCTACAATATACCTATCATTTCTAAAAGGCAAGTCTGTAAAACTCTTATCTTCTGTGGAGGTTCTGAACTGGGAGTAAGATGAAAGGCAAAGCAGCGTCTGCAGCAGTGAGGGGAGAAGGGAGATCAGAAGGCAGCAAGTGTTTCAGGGGAGAGGCATGGCACCAACCCACCTCTTTCTTTGTTCTGCTTCAGACAGCAGAAGCAGTAATGGCAGCAACTGGCAATCATTAAAAATGAAAAACTGAGAAATCAGGACCAGAGGCTGCCTTGTCTACCTGATTCTTCATGGAACATGCTATAGGAAAATAGAACAGAGAACCAACTTGGAAGAGAAACAGGGAAGGAAAAACAAATAACTTTATTTTCAAAGCACATATCTGTTCAAAATTCCTAAAGTCTCTTCTCTTTCTCCTATTTTTCCTGTCTTCAAACTTCCCAGCACAGGTCCAGCTCAGGGGACACAGGTGATGTCCGGTCCCACTTCTTTCCCATCCCCCTTCCCCAGGTGACTGACCAGGGTTAGCTCATAACCCAACAAGCTGATCCGCTGGCTAGCCAGAAACCTAAGACCATGAACTATGCTTAAAACAGAAAGATAGGCCTTACCGATCAAGTTCCTCTACAGATGCACTGAGGAAGACAAGAGCGACTAGCCACATGTGACTAGTGGCTACTGCACAGGACATTTTTATCAACACAGAAGTTCTATTGCACAGCACTGCTCTAAAGAATCTAGAACTGGTTAACAGAAACAGAGTGGTGAAGTCAGAAGTGGAAATGGTTCAACTAGCGATAGTGTGAGTTAAGTTGACAAGGTAAAAGGGCAAGTGGCAAGAGATAACAAAAGGCTACATATTGTGTGATTCCACTTACATGAAATATCCAAAATAGGCCAATCTACAGGGGCAGAAAGTGGGCAAGCGGCTGCCCAGAGAATGGGGACTGGGGGTAGGAGAGAAGGGAGTGAATGATTGCTAATGGGCACAGGGTTTCTTTTTAGGGTGATGAAAATGTTCCGGGCCCTGGCCAGGTAGCTCAGTTGGTTAGAGCGTCGCCCCTGATATGCCAAGATTGTGGGTTCAATCTCTGGTCAGGGTACACAGAAGCAACCAATGAATGCACAAATTAGTGGAATAACAAATCGATGTTTTTCCCCACTCTCTCAAATCAATAAATTTTTTAAAGTGTTTTTAAAAAAGAAAAAACGTGTTCTGAAATTAGCGGTGATAGTTGTGGATATAGTAAAAATCACTGAATCGTGCACTGTAAAAAGGTAAATTTTGTTAGGTGAATTATGTCCCAGTGAAAGAGAAAGAGAGAGAAAGGGAGTTAGGAATCAGAAGACAAGCTAGAAGGGTGGGGGCAAGGCAAAGAAAGCCATGTTGTAACCAAAGTTATAAGGCAGATGAAGAGTAGAAGCAGCAGCACATGTAGAAAGCAGAACAGGTTTCCTGAGTCAGAAAAATAGTTTTCAGGCCTTCCAGCTGTGGAGTTCCTGATTACACGACAGTCCAGTCAGTCCACAAGGGTCCTTACAAAAACACCCATAAATACTACTTTCACATGTTTAAAAATCATTTCCAAAACCTTTCATTACTCGCTTTTTCCCCTCTCTCTTCCTTACCTGCTGACTTCTATTTGTTAATTTGTAAACAGAAGAATTCCAGATACTTACCAATCTCTCCGCTTCCCAGCAGGCATACGTACTTTTTTGCATCCCAAACTGCAGCCACCACCCACCCCCACCAACAGGCCCTGCTGGCTTACACACTGTGCAATGGGAAAAGTGGCCCAGAAGAACATCAGGATAAAAAGGGCCCTGAGTTACTCACCAGCTGTTCTCTAGTGAGAACAAGATGGAATGTGTCTATGCTGGAAGGAAGGAATTTTCATTTGGATGAAGGCAGCTCTTCCTATGTTAGTTGGAAAAAGCTATCAATAAAGGTTTAAAAATCACCACTCAACAATAGAACAGCGAACAGTCTGCTTGGGAAGGTCTTCAACCTTCTTCCCCAAGGAATGGAGATAATGTCCAGAGCACCTATCTCTCTAATCATCTCTAATTATTAAAAAACCTCACAGGACTTATCGTTCATTCAACTGTATCTTCCAAGCTCCTACAATGTGCCAGATACTACACACTCTAAGGGTCTATTCCAGTGGACTGGACAACTCCTGCCCTGGAGGCAGTGGCACAGAACAACTGGAAGGACACAACCACAATACCTAACAAATGAATGAACGTTCTGTGGGAAAAAGCAGGTAATACAGTTTCTTTTGTTTGGAGGAGGGGAGAGGTGTGCAGGAATGGAAGCCAAATGGACTAAGCAGCTGGGAGAGTGCTCCATAGGGCAGGGCTCTGAAAGGCTAAAAGGCGAGAAGGACATGGTCAAGACTCAGAAGGCAGAGGGGACTGGCTAGGAAGGTGGAAAAAGCACTTAAGAAAGTTAAAAGGTTGAGTATAAAAACATTTAAAATATCAGGAAAAAAGAGAAAATACGTATATGAGAAAATTGATGCAAATAAAAAGATAGCTGGAGAGAACTGTTAAGGGGCTTTCAATGTTATACTGAAAGGGTTGGACTTTATCCCAAGAGTTTGTCTTTTAAGAGACACCTGGTAATGCGATGAAATAAAGTGAGAAAATATGAAGACAGGGAAGCTCTTGTAAAAACTAGCTCTAAGATTAAGAACTAGTCTTAAGCAATGCTGAGAAATATTGGCAGAGGGGTGCGAATCCACTAAACTTGGAGATCACTCCATCGAGGATATGAGGCAGAGGAAGACTCCTGGATTCTAGTGCAGACAGTATGAGGGACTGTTTTCGCATGGGGGAACCTTCAAATAAAGATATTCAGTGAAGAGTTTTTAAAATCAAGCCATAAAGTTCAGGGGATACTTACAGGATACATACAGAGATGTGAGAATCAGAAAAGCACATTAGTGCTCCCTTTAGCAGTGGGAGAGCTGAAAGACAAGACCTAAGATACAACCCTTGGAGAACATCCATGTCTCACGGTACAAGCCAAGTAAGAGGAGCTGGTGGAAGCTGAAGCGTGGTCAGAGTAGAATCAAGGACACTGTTACAAGAGGGAACAGGAACTAGGGCTCAGGGCCCTGGGCTCTTCCACAGCTCCTCCACAAATTCTGCAGTGAGAAATTTTGAAATAAGATACACTGCTAGATGACATTCTCAGGCAGTATCACTTCAGAGAGAAAACCACTAATGTCAAGCTTCCTGCTACAGCAGCACAAGGATAAAGGGGCTTAGAATCCAAGAAAGAGGTGGCAAGCACACACCATTCTCAGAACTTTCTTCTCTTCAACTCCGTGGTGTGTATTTTGGTATATGGTGTCTACCTGGGCCTGAGGACTTGCAATAACGAGCAGAACTGATGGGTAACTCTGCTCAAAGACACCCGAGGCCTGATTTAGGGGGCAAAAATAAAGAGTCTATCATTAAACTTGCACTGTAGGCCCAAGGTTGACACCAACTCTCCTCTGGTAAGCCAGTTTTAGCCCCTCTCAACTGAGTTTCTCGTCTGTAAAATAGGGGCAATAGCCTATGCCCAATTAACCTCAAAAAGCTTTTGTGAAGCTGGATGACTAAAACAGATGCCAATGCCCTTGCGGGGGGGCGGATTACTTAACAGTCTACTCCCTGATTACCTCTATTCAGAATGACCTATATTTGGTCCATGAGTTATCAAACTCTAGTGTGCATTTACACTACATGGGACATTATTAAAAACAGATTCTTAGTCCCTATTCCAGCATAAGGATCTCTGGGCATGGGCCCAGGAATCGGCACTTTTCTGCTCCAGGTAACTTTCATGCAGTATTACATGGTAGAGACTTCATGGGATACTGAATCAGTCCCACCACTTAAAGATGAGAAAACAGACTGAGGAAAAAGGCTCGATCTAAGGGCTGAACAATAGGCTGTGGCAAAGCATAGAGAGAAAGTGTTGCAATGAATGATAATTTGAGCCACAAAGTCTTATTTCTAGGGATCATATATCTGGTGCACAGGAATAGCTTTTATTATGCAATAAGTCTTTATGATGGCATTATGATTTCACCTGTTATCTGCTAAAATAGAATTTCAGCAGTAAAGAACTCTCATAAAAAGACATCTACATTACTGTTATTTTGGAAACTAGAGGGAAGGCATAGGATCTTCTTCAAACAAGCAAGCCGGGTAACTTTGAGGGCCACCAAACTATTCCGTGAAGAGGTGCTCAGAATCTGCTATTATCCCCACTGTTACACCCCATCCCGGGCAAGTCTGATTTGCACATCGCTGTCTAAACTCAAAGACTTGCAACTACCATCTGTTATCTAGGGAATATTCTACCATTTAATATTCTTGGCTTTGAATAACCTAAGACTCATTTACTTGAGCTTCCAAAATACTCTGAAGCCTGGTTAAGCTAACGGAAATCAGGAGTTAGAAATGTCCCCTCCACAAAGCCCAGAATTCAGGTTCCCTGCAGCTGTAACTCTGGGCCAGGTTAGCGCTGGGGTTCTGCACAATAGCAGCGTCACTTCTTGAACAGCACAGCAAACTGATGAGGCTTCTCATTCCCACGTTCAAAATTTATTTGGACAAACTGCCAAACAAGGCTGGTCTAATTTGGGGGAAGAAGCATCTGATACTTCCCAAATTGTGTACCATGTTGCATTCTCAATCAGATTGGGGGGAAAAAAATCAAAATTCAGAATTACAGCTTAGATGTCAATATAGCATTCTGCATGTACTACTAAATACACACTCTATGATATGAATTTACCGGTCTCCTCTGTGGTAAGTCTAAGAATTTGATCATTAAAAATAAGTAACTTCCCTAAATACCATTTGAATTACATACCCAACCCAAAGTAATAAAACTATAGTGTTAAAAAAAATACCTTGGAACCTATCATATGGGAAAACACTACAGCTTGAATGGACACTTGAGGTGATGTTGCTGGTCATATATCAAATGTACCCTCTCATGTAAAGAACTTCACTGTAGCCTTGAAGAAAGAAATCAGCAGTAACGAGACAGAATAGGACTCTACTAGAAAACAATAATAGTGTGAATTTGGCTTCCTCACCCAATTTTTTTCTTCATTTAAGGAAAGTTTCATTAAATAACAAAGAAAACAACCCAGTTCCTCTGCTTATGATAAAAAAAAAAATTAGACAACAAAAATACTTACACGGGACTGGAATTCAAAGAGCAATGATCCACCATCATTTCTGGAAGGAAATCCAACTTAAACGCAGCCATCACCTCACTCTCCCCTTCAGAAGTCAATGATATTAACTTGCTGCACTTGTCTGATCCACAAATACACACAGCTTTAGCTTCCTGGGCCCCACAAAAAACACAAAGTGGAAACAGGAGCTCAGGGAAACCAGCAGTAAGTGCCACAGGAACAGGCAGGAATGGGGAAGGGAAAGGGAATAATGGATTAAAAGGGGGATGTGACCATGTGAGGGGAGGCTCAGCCCAGCACACAATGAAAGTGCTGATGCACCAGGCTTGTTTTGTGTGATTTTCCCTGGCGAAGCAGTACTATGTGCGCTGTCAGATAAATAGAGTGTCAAATCCATGAAGAGAGCAGTGGCTAACAGAGCAGAAGAAACACAAACTTGTTTCACATCTTCCAAACTCCTCTCCCTACACATCAGTTTTTGAGGATGCCCCATATCTGATAATACCTGAAGGGCGGGGGTGGGGGTGGGGAGACTCACCTTCTCATCTTATGTGGTCTGCAAATGTTTTTGAAAAGAAGAACTGGGCCCTGCCTGTTGTGGCTCAGGGGACTGAGCGCTGGCCTGCAAACCAAAAGGTCACCTGTTCGATTCCTAGCCAGGGAACATGCCTGGGTTGCGGGCCAGGTCCCCCGTTGGGGGTGTGCAAGAGGCAACCTATCACCGTATCTCTCATACATCCATGTTTCTCTCCCCCTCTTTCTCCCTCTCCTCCCCCTGAAAATAAATAAAATCTTCGAAAAAGAAAAGAAAAGAAGAAGTAAGTCGTTAGCCTTGGTCTGAACTTAGTTTCCATGTGCCAAAGACAGTAACTAGCACAGTGATTGGGTCCAAACTGACCTCAGAAGAGTGGGAAAGGACCACTGGTTCAGATCACCAGAAGCCAGCCAGAGGCTGGCAGAAGAGGTGGTCACCAGACACTTACTGCTCACATACTACTACCTGTATTGGGCTGCTTTCTTGATAGGGTTGACAGTACAGTGTACTTCCTCATCACAGTGAAGAACTTTAAAAACTGCTGCTTCAGTGACATTCCTTAGGAGGCACAAGGCAAACCTTCTTTACTAACTCTGAATCTTAATTTGCCAGAGAATTTAAAAAGGTAAAAATGAAAATGGCATTGTACTATTCTGCCTCATGACAGAGTACTAGGAAATAATGTCTTTTCAGTTGTTTGACCTTTCTATAAATGAAAAAGAACTGGGGCCTGCTGGGGACAAACACTCAAACTCGTAACGAAGGATAGAGAAATGTAGATTAAGCCTCTTCATTCTCTGTCCTCCTTTAAACTTGCTAAAACCAGGATTAATGAATGCACACATAAAAATTCTATTGTGGGTGAGCGGCAGAGATGGATATACTTAGCAGTCGAGGCAGATGTGGTGCTCCCGTTCTCAATTTAGCTCCACATCCCTCCCAACAACAAATGGTGGCATTTCAATATTTAGGCGATGAGTCTAAAACTGCATCTCTGAAGGCTCCCAAATTTCACAGCCCTTCTTTCCATATTTATCATTAGGGCTGCCTTACCTCAAAAATTTCACTTCACTCAAGCTCAGTTAACAACACAGGGGACTTTGAAAAAAAGAAGTTATGTTCAGCCTGTAAAGAAGTAAATGAATGAACTCCTAAATGTGTGGACTTACTTTAAAAAAAAAAAAAATACTGAAAGGCAGCATGTCATGGTACAGGCCTAAATACTGTAGTCTGTGTAACAATGGCTGACATCTGCCCTGCATTTGACCCAGGAATGCAGAAACTGACCATCCAAAATTTAAAACTGTAATAGCAGTTAACTGTTTTTCTCTTTTGTCAGAAACCCTGGCTCATTTGATCTACTGCTTCAGAGACAGAAGTGGCAGGAGCTCTCTTCCATCCTATAAGAGAAGGATGTAAAAACAAGTTGCAAGTGAGAGGAGACTGTGCAACTCAATACACAGTTCACTGAGCCCTGATTCTGCCAGACAGGCAGAGGATGATAACCAAAGCTGGGACTGGTTAAGTAACCGGTTAGGTTTGTCCTAGTTTCTCCTGTGTACCCTGGAGCTGATCACATCCTTCTTCCCACAGGAAGATACCTGATCAAGGAGTAAGTTTGTCAATTCAGTTAACTAAATTAGATTTTTTTAGTTCAAGAATTCCTTTAGAAAGGAATCACTCGGTATTGTTATGCTTTTATTGTTCAGTAAAAATACATGGTTTTTAATTACATCTCTATTTCAATCAGAATCACATCTATAATCAGAGAGTACTTAAATGTGGGAGACTTCACTGAGTAGCTGGGCACTGCTCAGTGTATAAAACAATGTGCACTCCTGACAGTAATTTTTACCATGACAAACGTGAGACGTACTTATTCAGAGTAATGTTTTACAATCTATTTTACAATATATAAAGCAACACCGCTTTAAAAACCTACAGAATGGAAATGTTATTACAGGAAGGAGAATGCTTCTCCTTAGGCAGGTCACAAGAGTTATCTCAGTATAATTAAATCCAACATGCTTATGGGGGAAAAAACAACACAGAAATTAA